AAGGACCTTCAACAACTGGTGTCACTACAAAGATATCCTCTGGAAAACGGCATATTGTTGTGCATGCTGGATCTGAGGAAGGTTTTGTGCCTGGTGCATTATTAGTGTTCAGTAGTAAATCCAAATCTGCTGATTATCATGATGATATGAACTCATCGAACTTTATGAAATGGGTCAGAGAAAAATTAATACCAAATTTAAGTAAGCCCAGTGTAATTGTTATGGATAATGCCAGCTACCATATAAAACAAATCAATAAACCGCCTATAATGTCTAATACCAAAGCAGATATCCGTAAATGGCTTGTAAATAATGGAATACATTTTGAGGAATATCAGACAAAGGCAGAGTTAATGTGTTTGGTTAATGATAAGAAAACATTGCCTGTATATGAAGCTGAAGAGATTTTAAAAGAACATAATCATGAACTTTTATTGCTGCCACCGTATCATTGTGACTTAAACCCAATAGAGATGGTTTGGAGTCAAGCAAAAAGAAAAATTGCAAGCAGAAACATTGGAATACCAGGAAAGGAAATGGAAAACTTAATAATAGAGTGTTTTAACTTAATTACCCCTAGTGACTGGAAGAAATACACTGATCATGTTTTAAATGTCGAAAATGATTACAAATTAAAAGATGGCATTGTTGAAAACGAACTTGAAAAATTTATTATATCTGTTGGTGCAGACAGTAGTGAAGAGAGTGACTCTGATGATTCCTTGTCATTGTTATCAGGTGTAGAATATTTAGAAACAGATTTTGACTATGAATCAGACTAAAGTATTTTTAGTCTGATTCATAGTCAAAATCTTATCTTAAATTTTCTATTGTGATTAACATGATGATTTTGTGACACCTGTATTATGTAATTTATCCATGGCACTTAATTGTAACAAAAATAAATGTTTTTTTTATTGTAATCTGGTGTTTATATTGACTAATTTAATTTGATAGATAGTGGTTCTGGATCAGAGCAAAAGGTTGTGATGAAAATCCCTTAGGAGACATGTATGTGTTATGAACACATTATAAATATAAGGGCCAGAAATCAAAATTGGCTAACATCACATTTATTAAAAAAATGTGGCCAGAGTCGCCCATATTCATTACAAAAAAACAAAGAAGTCGTTGCAAAAAACACCCTTTTAATTAATGACAAATATGAATTTTTAATATTATAAGTGCTGTTAGCCAATAGGTATAACGAATGGGTTAAAAAAAAGATTCGATTTAGTCCGTCAGTCAGATAATAGAAAAATATTGGATACGTATTTTTTTTCGCTTTAATTTAACAACAAATGGCTTAAGAGGTACTATGCGACGACTTCAAATATGCTTTGCAACAATGTTACTTTAATACAGTTTATCGATACGAAATCAAGTGTCAAAATGGAGTCCAGTGGAGAATGCCGATATTGACATTTCGAAATTGCTCATCATTGATAGAGAATACGAAATAGTGATTTTGACACAATCAAAGTGTCTATTTTTTACGGTGATGACGATTCTTGGTTGTCAGTTGAGTTAGTGAATAGGCCTACTGATATGCTGTTAACTGTACAATTAAGAACAGTCACGCTTTAGTCAAATGTTCCAAAACAAATAATTTTAATTGATATCTAAATGTTAAGATTAAATATAATTAATAAAAGTATCAAAATTATTTTGCAGTACTACATTCAGTGTTTACTGCTTAAGAATTTTTGAAATTGCCGCCCTTTTCTTGTGACACGTTTCGCTTGCCAGACTCTATATGTATTTTTAAAATTTATCTTGATAATAAAATGTTCTGCACTGCTGCTTCTGTGATCCTCTTTTTTCTAATGTTATAATGAATGGAGTATAGTGGACTAATAAAAACCAGCTAAGTGCATGCGAGTCGGACTCACGCATGAAGGGTTCCGTACTATTATTCAATTTGAATTTGGTAGACTATTACTCGTTAACTTGTACGACCAACTTTGTGATAGTTTTCTTTTTAACTTCGTTATATAACTATCAGCTAGTTGCAAAACGTCCATTGTCATTAGTTGAAAGCGACATTACTCATACAATTTTGACATTCATTAAAGCTTAAAGGAGTCATTAAACCTTAATAGATGTTTGTACAACTGATCATAAAGGGTCTACATACTACTCTAACGGTTGAATTTTTACCGTTACCGGTTGATAGAGGACACTTGACTCTAACGAAAATTAGCGCTTTAAAGCTTGATAAGTCACAATCGGTTTACTTAATCGAAAAACTTCCCAAGCCCCCAATATATTTGAAAAATCTAAAGTTATTAAATTATTATAACAACAATTTGGGGATTATTCATAAATATTTAAATAAATAATATTTATTATCTCTCGCGTTTGTGCTATCTATGTGTTTGTGCTTTAGCTCGGTGGCGTAGTGGATAAGCACCGCAGCACGCGATCGTTGTCGTTAAGTAACTTTCGTTAGGTTCGGTTACGGGATAGGTGACCAAAAATTATTATCTGGAGCTACTCCGTGCTTTGGAAGGCACGTTAAGCCGATGGTCCCGGCTGCATTTGCAGTCGTTAATTCCCTCCAATCCGCATTGGGGCAGCGTGGAGGGTCATGGCCCATCCTCTTTAACCATCCGTAAGGAAGGCCTGAGCCCCTGCAGTGGGGATGTAAAAGGGCTGATGATGATGATGATGATGTTTGTGCTATCTATACTTTCTATTTTTATGATGTCACGCAGGTGTTATTTAGACAAGGTTTATTAGCATTAGTAGAGCATTAGCAATTCACGGAATTTATGTAAATCTACTATTATACATTCTTGAAAATGCTGTAGGTACCAATCAAATAGTTAATTTGGAATTAAATATGTGTTTTACTGTATTTATGAGCGAAATGTGTTTTCTATGTAGTTGTCATGAGCTGTTGTTTTTTGTTATTACTATTTCTACAGTTTTTAAAAGCACATGCTGGCATTTTAAGCCTTTTGCCGACTAAATTTCACGCAGTTATGTCATATCTCCCTTTTTTATTTTGATCAAAGAAGCTTATATGCATATGGCTATTAGGCGGGGTAAACGCGGTAAAACCGCCAATAAAAAACTTATTATATCGTCGAAGATAAGTGAGTCCTGCAAGAAAAGTCTTTCTTGAACTTATGTTCAGATTATAAGGCTAGTTTTCCGAGGCAGAGATAGTGCTAGTCTTCTCTAGGTTAGTAAACTATATAGTTCTCTTTATATGAAGATAGAGGCACAAGGCACAACTATATTGAATATATTGTAAAGTTAATTTACTTTACACACAACAACTTGGACGTGTTGTAAAGATAGTATATGACCAGTATTTTTTCATATATTTTTAATGTTGTCAAATATCCCATTTCGTTTTTATTGTAACTAATTAATTCGATTGACAAAACAAAATATGCGGGGCTCTCACGACAAAGTAAACTCAAAGGAAACCCTAGATTTATTATGATATCACTACTGCGTACCAGTGAAATTACAATATGACTCAACAGAGAAATAAAATAAAATTAGAAATTAGCGTAATTATAATGTCACTGATGAAATTATAATATCACGTCTTTAACAAATCCCTGTGACAGATACACTATATCTATTTTTTCATGCTATAACAAGCACTTATGAGATCATCGCCATCTTTCATTAGTTTCGTTTTCATTTTACATGTAGAAATTTATTTATTCACTTGACATTGACAGAATTGTGCAAAATGCGCAGATAAGCCATTAATAAAAAAAAGAACAAGCGCTTATAATAATTGCCATCTCAGTTTAAAAGACTTACCTCGTGAAACGACGAGCATTATTGATTATACTTATATGAAAAGGTAACAATAAAAGTAATAAAGAATAGGCTGATTGGTAAGATCTCTTTGCTTTAAATTAATAGTTGATGTCAACCATTAGGGATGCAAGGTTCTATAAAAATATCGATATGTCTGTTACAGACGATATCGATTTAACACCAACATATCGATATTTAACAATAAGTATATTTAAGGCCTTATAGAGATCTTGTTTTACATAATACAGTGAATTTTATTTCATTATGTTTTTTATATAAATAAAATTCGATTCATCAAATTTATTTAAAAATTCAGTAGCTCCTAAATTTAGAACTTGGAGCTTGTAGAGTCTACTTCCGGAAAGGTTGTTCCTACTTCGTATAGCGGTGGTTTCTGTGCTTGTAGCATAAAGAACTCGGGAGTGTTTTGTTTACACCCAAATGTCATTTTTCTCGGGTGCTCACGTACGATATCACCATAGATATAAACAGTCGTATTAACCTCTCAGCTTATCTCGACACGAGCTTGTCATACTAAGCGTTCAGCAGGCATGTTCAATGGAAAAATGTATTATTACTTTAAATAGATTGATATTGGATGGGAAATAACACATTAGAAATTAAGCACAAATAATAAAAATATAATTCAATTTCAAGGTCAAATTAAGGTTACAAAGTAATGTCATATGTCATCACACGTAAATATGCCATTGGATGTTAAAATTTGACTGGCTGATATACATTTACTCTTGAATTTCATTCAATTTTAGGTTTCAATGTTGAGAATTTTGATATCGATATTTATGGGTGACGATTTATATCGGTTTTCCGATATAGCGTTTATCCCTGTCATGTCATTGTTACGTTGACAGAACAACATAACCTCCAAACTCGATAATCGTTGTCAAAATATTTATTGATATTGGATTAATAATTATTATAATAAGTCCTTCTTTTACTATTGTAATAATAAAAATAACTAGGTAATTAAATGAACGTTGTTTCATTGAAAATTGTTTAAGTAATATTTACATAACATTTTAAAGATTAATGTAGTGATCACTTCATCTTCAAATGTTACTACTCATATTGGAGTTTGTATAACTAATAAAATATACATTTATGTAAATAGCGTATTTAAGTAAATGTTTACACACATGTCATAAATATTTAAATATATTTCTTTGGAAAGGTAACCTTTGAACTTTGTAATGTGTAGTATCATATGTGGTGTGCAATCATTAGTTGTGGTGCTTTCTATATTTTTCTCTTATATTTTCATAATGACCAATAAACCAGGTGGGTGCCTATAATAATATTTGAAAATTCAATATATATTAGGCTTAGCTATACTTATTTATTATGCTGACTTAAGTAATCCTATAGAAACAAGGAAGCTTACTGTTAAAACAATGTGGTTAATCATACCTAATGTATTCATAATATGACGTAACAGACTGCTTTACTGACTAAATAATTACTAACTTGCCTTAATGATATATTTTATTTATATTTATCTTTACAGAAGAATCAATGGCAAAAAATGGGTTACTGTTTATATCTAATGCTGCAAAGGCTCATGACGTCTGTCAGAGAGCCTCCAAATATGTACAAAATTTATTATACATAAACATCAAGAGTAATCCACAGAACACATTACCAGTATTGAGCAGACAAATTGTGGAACTATACACAAAGGTAATTTATAATACCATAAAAGTTTTCAGTTTTTATGTAAATACATTTATGGCAGGCAGATGTACAGTTCATAGAATGTAAAATTACTCTCTCTTTCCTTCTTAAGTTCATGTCTGAAAAAGGTGAAAATAAAAATTCTATTATTGAGGAGAGGGGACTTGTTACGTTACAGTTTTGTAGAAAATGTATACAAGTATATTTTTGTAATTTATTGATTTCATAAAACAATACATGTTTAATATTTATCAATAATCTGCCTCACAGATGGACAAAAAAAATGTCATCATCTCTTTTAAACATTTTGATCACTGATCTATGTTAACTCCAAATTGATTGCAGAAATTTCTGTTTATTTAATTAACCTGTGCAGCCTTTCCAAATTTACTTTAAGTTAAACATTGTTTATTTTGAAGAAAACTGCTTAAATGCCAATTATACAAATAGTTATTGACAGTTCCCTCATGGTATATGTAATATTTAATATATAAAAGTTTTTGAAATAACAGTTTTTATGTTAAGACTATATTAAGTATTTTATCCCTAAGTCTTTTAAGGTTGGCTTTTATTTCTACTTATTAGAGCTTTAGATTTCGTGAATATATTGAAGTTTTAATATTAAATAGAGTAACATTCACTTGTAATTTATTAATTATACCTCTATACTTGATAAGCAGGGCATTTTTATGTATTGTATTGTATAAACAAATTAGATTTGTACAATAAATTAACCATATGTTTTTTTTTTTTTTTTCATTTATTTAAGGCTACAAACAGTCATATACATAGAAAAATAATTATTGTAAATTGTTGAAGTTATAATAGACCTATAGTGCCTATAAAATGTAACAATAATATAATATGAGCTCCCATGTTTGTCAAATTCAAATGTTACAATTTTGTTTCATAAATTTGAGAGTACAACAACATTAGGAGGACATTACCATATATAAAAATATGCAATGTTAATACTTATGTACTTAAGTTAACAATATGGGACAAAAAGAATAAACAAAGCAAAAAAAAAAGGAACATATTGTGTAAAATAGCCCGGCAAGGCTATTTAGTGCTTAACAACTTCTGATAAGTGATACTAATACCATTTTTTCAATGCACATATAACACACACACATACACATACACACAAATATTAATGCATATGGAATAAGGGTTGTTTGATATAATTTTAAATTAATTACTAGTTAGAATTTCCGAAAGAATGCATTTCAAGTTCTGTTTTTGAGAACATTAGGTTACTATTGCCTCAATCTGAATGTCTGGTTGGTGATTTATATTTATCTATATCTTTATGCCTTATACCTTGCGGGGTAGGCAGAGAGAACCGATCACCACAAAGCGGTCCAATGGTCCTTCCTCTTCAGTTTTTATGGCTTCTGACATCATCTTCTTACAGCAAGCGATTTATTTGATTGTGAAAAGTGTGTAAGATATATGTAGCCTTTTGCATCATATATCAGTTTTGTCATCTTACATCTAGCATTCTTCCCGCATGTCTAAAGCAACGGAATAACTAAATCATGTTATATATTTTACAGGCAACATCACAATGTAATAACCTGGATGTCAGACTTATGATGAAGTTAAATGACAAAGGAAGTGTTATAACGACAAAACATCCAATTGATATTATTTTATATGATAGTGATTTATCAAAAGAAATAGAGCAATTGAAAAAGTTACTAACATCTCTTAGTCCAGGATATCAATTACAAAGTCTTGGTAAGTTGGTTGACTTACTTTATATTGATTATAAAATTTCATGTTAATATTTAAGAAGTTAAATATTGAACAACTTTCGTAAGACCCTGTCATAATTTTGTTATCAAGTTCGTCATGCTTCGAAGGGCATGTTAAGTTGTTGGTCCCGGCTGGATCTGCAGTTACTACCCGCCAATCAGCACTGAGCATGTGTGGTGGGTTAAGCCATATTCTCTCTATCTGATTCCATCCTATGGACGTAAGGCCTGTGCCCTGGCAGCGGGGATATTCACAGGATCATAGACACATTATCATTGATCTGTTTGAGTTCCATGAGTTCTGTAAAAAGTTGGATTGAATGCAGGTAGACAAATAAATTTTATCTGTTCCTATCAGTCCCTGTTGGTTCCATAACTTATTCAATTATAGCATGTGATAAATCATACTTTAAAAAATGTTATTAATCCACATTATGTTACATTGAAAAACATGTCGAGTATTAGACTAGTTGTTTATATTTAGATACAAAAAGATCTCTAATCTATTCATAAAATAGAAGAATACTGAATAGATTAAAAATTTTTCAACATACTTTAAAATCGAAAAAGAGGCGGTTATATGTTCGACGATGATGTATGTTTTTTAGTAATGTGTGTCAGTATCTCACTTTTTTAGATTTCAAGGGTTCTGCACAGTCAAGTAGTAATGATGAATTGGTAAAGACATACGAGTATGTAGCGTTGGGTGGTACATTCGACCGTCTTCACAATGGTCACAAGATCCTTCTGTCACAGGCAGTACTTCGATCTACTAAGCATGTCACTGTAGGAGTTACAGATGTAAATATGATTCAGTGTAAGGATTATATACTTATGTTGTTGTTCATAAGTCAAAATGTGTTATGACTAAAGCTTATATTTACGTTAAAATAGCATGTATATAAAAGTTAAAAGTTTGTGAGGATAAATGTATGTGACTCTTTCACACAAAAACTACTGAACGGATTTTGATGAAATTTTGTGTACGGAGAATGCTAAGCCCATGTCCCACAACTCGTATTCAAAGAGAAATGCAACATAATAGATCTTTATGTTAAAGAAAACTGCGAACGCAATTAGCTGGGTGCGCAAGAATTTATAATATTAAGTTAGTCGTGCTTCAGACGACACGTTAAGCCATTTGTCCTGTTAGCCATTTATCTGTTGTTGTTAATACCTACTTATCTGCATTGGACCCACGTGATGGGCACTGGCCCATTCTTCTCATATAATTGCAGCCAAAAGATTTTTGCCTATTAATAATAATCAGTGGCCTGTCTTATGACATAACAATTTTTTTGCAATTCCTTTTAAAGATATAACGATTGTTATAGCTAATTGTGATCAAGAAACATAATTAAAACAAATAATAATTTTAAGTGATATTTGTCAGATTGACGATATCGTTCATTTAACTACTTAAAAAATCGTTGCGATCACAACAATCATAATCGCTATCGTATGTCAAAAAGTTGTAGGGTGAAGTTCGTGAATATCTATCAAATATCAAATTGGATAATTTTAAAACTAGACCCCCGATGATGGTCTATTCTAATACCTATTTTAATCTAATATAATATTATAAAGATCAGGCTCGTCAGGCACAACAGGCGCCCGGGTGCAAGTAGTGCTCTGGCGCCCCCCAGCCCACTTTTTACACATATTTGGATTAGAGACCATCATCGGCGCACCCCCAATGCGCGGCGCTCGGGTGCATTGCACCCCCTGTACTATAGGTTAAACCGCCCCTGATAAAGATGAAAGATTGGATGGTTTGTTTGCATCGAACAGGCTCCGAAATTACTGAACCGATTTTAAATAATTCTTTCACCTATGGGTAGCTACATCATACGGTTTGCTATAATTATCACGTGCGAAGTCGAGAGACGACAGCTAGACGAGTACTATACAAAGACGACAAAATGGCATGTTAGCATAATAACTTAATAAAGTCTTTTTGTAGCCAAAAAATTATGGGAACTAATAGAACCAGTGGAGAAAAGGATGGAGGCTGTATTGAATTATTTAACTTGACATAAATCCTGACCTGGAGTATGACGTGTTCCCGTTACAAGATTTGTATGGACCAACTAAAGATGATCCAAAAATTCAGGTTAGATTTCAAGCTCAGATTACTTATTTACGTATTATGGTACAGTTAACGGCGCGATAGGTAAAACGAAACTGTCAAAATTGTCCACTCTATTTAAGATCTTATTGCATTGACGTAAGAACACATAATCAATTGCGGAAATTTGGCATATTGTGGTAGCCTGACGTGCAGCCGTTTCGTGTGTACTGTAGAGATACATTAATCCTCACCAAACGCGCCAATGGAGGTGCAAATCTGTTTCGATCGTTGCGTCGCGGGTTGGGTTCCCGGTTGCAACTTAGAAAATTAAATTAGAAAAACTTTTCTATTTTGCCTATGGGTCTGGGTGTTGTGGTACCTTTTTTGTTTCAGATTTCCATGAAACAAGAGATTTGACTCAGGACCTGAGATGTTGTCTAATATTTATTTATTACATAAATAGTCAGTTACCCAAACATCCATTAACATTTAATGACGCCTTTTAGCTCTAATGAATGTTCTTACTTTGAAAATTTGCTTCGGTAATGTCGCTTTAAATTTATGTAAATTTTAATGAACGCTTGTGCAACTGCGGGAAAACTCTTGTACACACTAATGAGCGCGTTTATATAAAAATGCATATGAAAATTCGTAATTCTTATAGTTACCGCTAAGGGCGCTGTCCCGGTTATATTACTGAAGTCAAGTTCGCTTTATTGCGAATGTCAATGTCAGAATTTTGATGTCACCTACTTCACATGCGAGGCGTGTAGAAAATTCTTTTCGTTCGCCTTCTTCAGCTCGGGTTGAGCAGCTTTACTGTGATTTGGTCAGGTTGAAGAAATGAGACACATTTGTCGTTTGTCGACTGTGCTACTTTCATTCTGGCTCAGTTACCTACACTGGGCGATGACGTCAGCATTCATTGTTCGGTTACTGTTTTATTGACCAATGAGGTAAGCCCGTAGAGTGAGTACAGTGTAGAGAGAGATGTGCGCAGTGTAACTGAGCCATTACCACGGGTAGCATGACAAACTCGAGAAACGCTTTGTCTACACTCACTTGTCAGTTTGTCGGGTCAAGAGTGAGATATCGTATGGGCGCACACGAGAAAAGTGACATTTGAGTGTAGACAAAACGTTCTCGAGTTTGACATGCTACGCGTGTAGGGGTCCTGTCTTCTGGCAGTCCCATACGGTATACGATAAATCCCGAAATATTTTATGAAGCATAATATTTCCTATTCCAGATGATAGTTGTGAGTGAAGAAACTCATCAAGGCGCTGTGAAAATAAATGAAAAGAGAATAGAAAATGGCCTAAAGCCTTTGGATACGCACGTGATAAGTCTAGCTCAAGATATGCATCCCCTGAAATCTGAAGAAGAAGAGCAGAAAGTCAGCTCCAGCAATTTGAGGATGAGGTTGCTAGGCACCCTCCTAAAACCCCCTAAGGTATTACTTTGAATCAGATTTATTACACTTTTTACATTTAATCAATTTAAAACTTGTATTAAATTGATTAAATGTAAAAAGTATCAGCCACATGTGGTATCGGAACCACATCGGCCCATTAAACTGTCGAATAAGAAATAATGGCGTAATTGGCGGAGTAATCGCGTAATAAACACAAAAAAATATACAATCGAATTGAGAAGTTCCGGTTAAAATATACACATTTTTAATTTAAAAGTAAATTAAAATTCAAACTTTTTTAATATCCACACCCTGCCATATTCATAACGTCATTTGGATATGTAGATTCATATGAAAAGATGTTAATCAAACAATAACAGTACCATCAAAATATCTTACTACTAAATAAAATTAAAAAGTACGAACAGCGCCATCTAGGAGCGTGCTTTATAATTAATAGGTTGTTTTGTTTACAAATAATTTGACAGATGCAGATTTTTTTAACGAAACGATGTTACACTGTGGCGGTTGTCTTTTAAGTCACATGATGAACAGACAAAAAACCGTAATTTAAAAATTATGCGATTTTATGACTCAAAATCAGAAAATCCATGTTTATTTCAATGTAAATTTTAGTTTTATATTCGATTTTATATAAGAATATTTGCTTCCAGCCTAATCCCAACATTCCCGATTGGCCGTATGTTATAGGATTAGCGGGTGGTATTGCCAGTGGAAAAAGTAGTATTGCTGAGAAATTAATGTAAGTGCCAACTCACTTTTTCTTTTTTGTGATATCTCTCAATTTAGATAATAGTTACCGCGATGATTGATAGGTATCATAGATAGAATATATTTACTGATGCCCTATCCACGTAAGCATTCAGAGTTAATACGTCCTGAACAAGTGGTAGGGGAAAAGAATTTTTTTTGACGATTCAAAAGTGCTTGTAATAGCCTACTCGAATAAAGATATTTTCATTTCAGTAAAGATTCAGCGTCGTTTATTAACGCATCTTTTACAAATTTCGCGCATGTGTCAAGGTAGTTTTCAAAATTCCTTGTAATTATTGCTTCGTTGTAGCATTCATTAAATACTTTTTAAAAAGCTATATTATGAATGCTACAGCTACTTGGCTATGAATCTGAATTTAAAGATTAAAAAAAACTGCAAAAAAAAGGATAATTAATGAAATCTTTAAAAACTCTATTTAAATTTTTAATTGATAGTTCCTTGAAAATCTTATCTCAATTGTATTTATTTTATCATACATATTGGTTTTATTTTGGAACCTTAGAACATATACCCTATAATTCTATATTAAATGCCATCCTGTATTTGCGGCATATTTAAGGAACGTATCCTCCGCGAATAAGGAGCTGAATTCACTCTTATGTAAATCACATAACGTTGACGTAGGTGACTCGCTTGACATTATCCGCGATCACAGTTTGCAACAATCTGCGAGAGACAACGCTTTACATAGACGGTCACGTAATGCAATTATAATAACCGTACAGAATGTAACGCGTAATGTAGAGCGTTTAAATAATACCTATGGATCGCATACAATGCAACCTGTCATGTGTGTGCGTTGCGAATGAAACAACAGGATGTATATATAGAAATAGATATGTTTTTATGTTCCACGTAGTTTGGCTTTCGGAGTGATCAAGTAACCAATCATAAATCCAGCGTTTTGCGTTTTGATATCGGTGATTGGCGATCCGATAGCAATTGTGTTAAGTGATCAAAAATACCTATATCGAACCATCCCTAATTCACTGTGTGCCAATTTAATTTGTTAAATCCTACTATACCTTAATGGTGTTAATGCAGTAATTTTTTAAAACTCAACTATTTGCAGAAAAAAAGGCGCTGGTCTGGTGAACTGTGATATAATTGCCCATGAACTATATAAGCCAGGTTTGCCGTTGAATAAAACATTGGCGGAGGCCTTTGGAACGCGTATCCTTAACAGTAGTGGGGAAATCGACCGCAAGATACTCGGCCAAATCGTCTTCAGTAATAAGGTTAGACTGGTACACGCTACAATGTTACAAATAAAAATGCACTATTATTTTCCATGTTTCTTTTAGGGTTCCGTACCCAAAAGGTAAAAACGAGACCCTATTACAAAGACTCCGTTATCTGTCCGTCTGTCACTAGGCTGTATTTCATGAACTCTTGACAGCTGAAATTTTCACAGATCGTGTATTTCTTTCGGTTTTGACAACAAATACTGAAAAATAGATAATTTAAGGTGGCCCCAATACGATAAACGTGATTTTTTACATTTTCTATTGATAATGATATCTAGTAGTGTGACACACACTTTGGCGGATTTTTTTTTTCTCGTTTAGTCACATATTTTTTATTTAGCAACATCACTACTCGCCCCACAGATTAATTAGCTTTAGCCCTTGTTTTATGTAAATCTTGACAACGAAAGTGTCACAACACCTAGACAAAGACAATCGATCGCGCTACTACCTTGAAACCGTCGTGAACAACGTATTTGTACATTTTTACACACCAACAACGAAAAAAGTAAAATTTTCGGATTATTTTCTAGTGACTTCATATTCTAAAGAAGTAACATTTCAATAAGACTTCTCTGTGTGAAATAAAACAGGGAGAAAAAAGCAGCCCTTGCTGAGTTTTTTGTCGGTTCTTCTCAGTACAAGGTCTTCCGCCGTAGTTTTGCGAACCGATGGCATAGTTTTCGACTGCTCTGTAAAAGCCTAAACTGAATAAACAATTCCGATTTTTGAAAGTCTATTTTTAATAAAGTAAGGTTTAAAATCGATTAGCTATTTTTAACAGTTTTGTATAACCTGACATGCTGTCAACTGTAAATTTATCTATATTCAAGTACGTTCCAATAGATTTGATCGTTTGTTAGGATCAATTGGAAAAGTTGAACAGTCTAGTGTGGCCCGCTGTGATCAATGAAGCTGAGAGACAAGTCCGTGAGCTGGGAGATAAGGGTCATACGGTGGTGGTGATAGAAGCCGCGGTGATGGTGCGAGCTAAATGGTACACCAGGTGTCACCAACTTTGGGCTGTCATAATACCGCCCGCCGAGGTTAGTACAATTACCAGTAAAAATGATGAGATGTAGTACTTGCTAAAAATCAATTGGGATATTGTCTAATCAACGAAATAATATATTACACTTTGAAAATTTGAAAAAAGAGGAAAATAAATTACAAGAATTTAACTAGTTACACAAAATATATTTTCACAAATATTCACAACAATTTACACTTTGACTTGACAGTTGTTACAATTTATATTGCCGTATGAAAATCGATTTTGTTTATTTTTATTCTGTGCCGTCAGATTCTGGTACTTAATATCTGAGAAATAACGTAGAAAGATTATATTATCTGCGATTAAGTTTCGGAGATACGGTACTATGTTTGTGGAACTGCTGCTAATCGGCCGAAAACGCTCCATACAAATTCAAGCCACTAAGTGACGTCATATATTTCTATAGTAGCAAAAAACGTTTGTGTCTGGGAAATCTTTAGTTGTTATAATAAAAGTTGTTACGTTTTATGTTACTAACTTAATGCCATATTATGTATATTAGCAAATATTTCTAATAAAGTTTCCTACTTTTTCAAGTTTTCAAAGAGTAATATTTTCCAAATTAGTGTCATAAAATTTATTTTATTAAATATTTCAAAGTTAAAATGGTTCATATTTTCCAAAAATATAACAGAGAAACCTGTATTTTCACTTGTAAGACACAACCTTTCAATATGTGTAAATATATATTTTTTAATAATTATAAAATAAAATTTTCCAAGACCATTTCTTAGACTAAAATGAACTCCTTGCTTTCAACATTACAGGACTACCTATATACATATAAAAAATAAAAAGCTTTCTTAATTTTATATTGCACGGAACCTTTTCTCTTTATTATTTAACATACTGCCATGACAGTTGATATTTCGATAAATGTTGTTCCAAATATTATTTTTTTTGTTTTTATTTCTCACCAAATACACTAAAATAAGCAGAAATATTACAGGCTATAAAACGGCTAGCAAAACGCAACGGCTTAACTGAGGAAGAGGCCAGGCAACGCATAGAAGCTCAACCTTCCAACCAGGAGCAGGTGGCCCTAGCTAACATTGTATTTAGTCCCTATTGGAGTTACGAGTACACGCAGGCGCAAATAGATCGCGCCTGGGATCAATTACAGGAATATTTGAATACCAGGAACTAGAAGTTTAAATCAGTATTTCTTATAAGCCACGTACATTGCTAATGCTCTGGAACCTTATCTAAATGACACCCACGTGACAATTGAAAGTACAGACAGCACAAAATGAAAAGATAAATCATTGATTATTTATTCTCAAACAGTTTTGACATTTGTTAACTTTGTGGATATAGAAGACAAAAAATTGAAAATAAAAAAAGTCTGCTTTATAATAATGCGAAAACTAGAGGACTTTTTTTTATATTGCCAAAAGTAGTGGTGAAATTAGAGACAATAGATTTTTTATGAAATTACCATTGTGAAAATCATAAAAGTTTTTAGTGATACGTAAAAAGTAATAAAACTTAACAATGACCATTGAAAACCACAATAATAGTACATGGTCAAAACACAATTTTATACGCATATTCTCCGTCCAGTCTGTTTGCTACCAGTACCGAGTGTTGAACACTGTCAATAAATTACCTACTTCACGAAAATTGCAACCAGGCGCATTAATAATCTGCGGGGAATATATGTATATGAATGATTTTATTCGTTGTTAAATAATATTAAAGTCTATATTTAAATAGTGCCATTGTTTAAACACAAACATTTCCTATTTAGTGTATTTATATAGTTATCGGTCAAATGCACAAACGTCCATTAAGGTTTAATGCCGCCTTTCACCTCTAATAAATGTACAAATTTTTATGGGCAATGTCGCTTTAAACCCACGGTGGTCAACAGCCGGCCGGCGGGCCGGAACCGGCCCGTGAGACATATTGAAAAACCTAATTTAACATTGTACTCGTAGTATCATTTCATGAGCTCTACAACACTACTTTAAAATGTACTTCTTTTGAACGCAGCCCACGAATGTATTTGCATACTAAAGTTTGGCCCACAACGTGTCCAAGGTTGCCCATACCTGCTTAAACTAATAAATTGAAATGGATTAATGGACCTTTGTGCAACTGGCTGCGTGGGTAAAAGGCTGTATTATAGTAAGTTAAAATGTATATGCAAATCGTTTTTATTTATGTAATAGACAATAATATTTCCAATATTGATAAATCGGTTATTTATTATGTAGCATGTACACTGTAAGTAAATAAACAAATATTTTAATAAATTTTGATGTTAAGTTCATTATATCACACCATTAAATATTACACCAAAGATTACAATATTATACTGGTAATATTACACTAAACTGTTTATGGTCAGTTGCACAAACGTCCATTAAGGTTTAATGACGCCTTCTGGCTCTAATGAATGTCAAATTTGTATGGGTAATGACGCTTTAAACCAGTGATTCCCTAAGTGTTCCAGGTGGACCCCCAGGGGTCCACGAGGGATTCAACGGGGGTCTACGTTGGCGTGAATTTCCATCGTTAGATTTCATATTTTGGACGAATTTTGGGAATATGGTAAAAATGTAGCACCAGGGGGTCCACCGAAACCAGTAATTTTTTATTAAATCGTCTAAGAAAAATAATTGTTTGGGGGCCTCTGCTTTAAACTAATGTCAATTTGAATGGACGTTTGTGCAACTGGCTGTTAGTCCCATAAAAGTCAATATAAACCTTCGATAAAAATTAACTATCACTTGGTTACAAAGATTCAAAACATTCAATAATGTTTTAGTTAAAAAAAAAACATTTGTTAAATATACACAGAGTAGCAGAAGTATAGAAAAATTAATATATGTAAAAACATATCACACTAATACATAATACATTAATATTGTAAATTACATCGCACTTAACGTAACACTATAATAAAACGTATAAAATTTATTGTTATTGGTAAAAAAATAACTTAAATTTCTATTCAAAAATAAATATATATTTTTAAAGTTACAAACCAATAATTATGTTAAGTTCAATGTATTTGAAGTTCAGTTGCAATTTGAAGGTCTATTATTATAAGTGCGTTGTAATTATTTCGTATGTAAATGTATGTACCGGAGAGAATATAATTAATTTACAAATATATATAAGTTTTCAAACATTTTCATTTCCTGTTTTACTTTTCTTGCTAAATGTATTATCACAGTATGTCAAATTTCTGTAGTTTATTTTAAACTTTACCTTCAAAACATTAAAGCTTAAAATCAAGTGGAGAAATTTGACAGATTTGTATAACCTGACATAGAATAGAAAACATATTAATCGAACTGTTTCTAACTAATGTGATGTTAAAACTTTAATATTTTTATCCAATTCAACTGGTTGAATTAATTATTAATTTTGATATTAACTTTGTTCATGATAAGGTTCAAAATTGAATAGAGTGTAAGAAACTTACGTGCTAAATACTGTACGTAAGTACTAAGTACAGTCGAAAGCACGTGAAGTTTCTACAAAAGGCCAATACAACCGATTATAAACCTTAAAACCTGTCGATAATTTTACTGAGTTAAAATATCTTTTGTAGCATGTAACTTTATATGCCGCTGTGTGTACGTACATATATTAGTAACTCGTCCAATCATTCGATATGATTTTCCGAAATTATTTTAATATCTACAGAATAGATCAGATTAGATGATTAGAATATAATTTGTCTCAATGCTACTTACGTTTATTATAGTTTGGATTACGATATTACAAATGTATCATCACTTACAGTCTTACGATCGAATCGTAATGATACGCATTGGTTTGATTCTTTTTAGACTTTCTTTTTTATATGGCGCCCTCATTCCTAAAGATTATGAACAACAAAAAATGGATATCATTGTAAGTATAATGTATATATACAACTAACTTTCCGGCAGCGGCTTCGCCCGCGTGCTTTTCTATTATACATTTAAACCTTACTTTTGAATCACCCTATCTATGAAAAAAAACCGCATCAAAATCCGTTGCGTAGTTGTAAAGATTTAAGCATACATAGGGACAGAGAAAGCAACTTTGTAGTAGTGTCCGACCGAAGGTCTATTTTTGGCCGAAGCCGAAGCCGATTAATCGGCAATCGCCACAACCTTCTCCAAAAGCCGAAGCCGAAGCCGATGGTTTATAATTTCTCAGTAATTATTTTTTTTCAATATTGTCTACAAGCTACAATTAATATTAAAATTATTTCAAAACTTCAATATTGAAGGTTATATTGACTGAGTCATATAGAAGTTGATTTAGAAATACAGATTTGACAGTGAAGGCGCTTGTGCACTACACTGAATTTTCATGTCCGGCGGTCCGATTTTTTTCGGCCTGATATGTCAGGGCATATGTAGGTAATGCTAGCCTGTGCCAGGAATATTTTTCCTGTCTTCTACGTCTTCGCACGTACAGTAATAGAGCAAGCAATTACCAACGTTTCAAAAATCTCATCGTGCCTATTGTAAGTGACGTGTAGCTTCACAGAGAGTTACCCTAAAATGTGCCGCTCCGATCCGGAAAAAAACGGACATGTGCACAAGGTACTCATCCGAGTTTTTCATGTCATTCGGAACCGGGAAAAGACGGCCCGCCGGCCCTGAAAATTCATTGTAGTGCACAAGTGCCCTGACTCCCCGCGGCCTCTGCCAACACGACCGGTCCATCGCTCTCTCACTCAGTATTTCGAAACAGTTCATTCAATCTCGACGGTAGCTCGGACCTTCGGCGAAACCTTCAGCTTCGGCCTAGTTTTGGGCCGAAGATGGTTTTTTTTGGCCGAAGGTGCCCGATGCCGAAGCCGAAGCCGAAGCTTCGGTCGGACACTACTTTGTAGTGACTTTATAAATACAATATAATAAACCATCTGTCATATACATTAAAATTAGAACAAATAGTTTTAACGATTTTTAATTTCAGGTTGACTTGATCACTTCGAATTTCCATCATAAAGGATGGACTAACATCATTATCATGGGGGCGTTACACAATCGCCTCTATAAAATAAGCCAACATATTAATGCTACATTTATAAACGTCAACGAAAATTATACTAACATTGAAGTGGATGAAATTTTGCAGTATCGTGCCAATACAGTAATTATGGACTGTGTCGGCATTGATGATTTTGAAAATAAATTTTACAAGCTACGTAATTTGCCGTACTGGCATCCCCAATCGCGCGTTATCCTGTATTACCACAGCGCTTTGACGAAAGAGATGACGTCAAAAATGTTTTTCATGTTCTGGTATTATTTGTGCGTTAACGCAATCATTATACGATACAATGATTCAATAGAGAAACTCATGATCACCTACTACAGCCCATATATCTACGAAAATTACAAGCTTGACCATGAATTTGGGTGTTGGACGCATAAAAAAATCACTTACCCGGTAGAAAATATCCATGAGAGTTTCGTTTGTGTGAAAGAATGCAATAATTTAACATTAAATTCAGCTCTAAAAACAAATCATTTAGGCACATGTATTGGATTGCGGACAATTATAGTGGATTATGAAGATAAAAAACTCTTAAAAGAGATTGATGTGTTTGAAGAGAAAGGAAAGAATTTGCACGGATATCCTCTCACAGCTTTTGTGTTAGAAATAATGCCATTTTTAATGATAGACGAAAATCCTGATGGGACATACACGTTGCGTGAAAGAGATGGTCGCATTTGGAATACGATGGCAGAGCTGATGAATTTCACCATTGACATTTCACCATGTGCGGACTTCATGAAAAAGCCGTTCAATTTTGAATTGGTCATAAAACTGATATTCGACTATTCTATGAGAAAAGCAGACCTGATACTAATGCCAGTTTATCAGTTTAATTTTTTAGTAGTCGACTTCGACATGGGGGTACCGTACAAAGAAAGCGGTGTCTGTTTTATGGCCCATCGGGCCGGTTTCGAGACCTCTCTATTCGACTTTAAAATGGTGACCGCGAACTATGAACTGTTGTTAGAAGCTTTATGTTGTTTTGTAGGAACTTGGTTTGTATTTTTTATTTTTAATGTAGTCGAAAAGGGAATTGTTAGTTTTGATCAGGTTGGAAAAGACTTGATAAATGCCATTAGAAATGTACTATCAATACCTTTGTACAAACCACCTAAAACAGGTAAATTTCGCTTCTTTTTGCTAATGTCAATATGGAGTTATTTCATCATTAACTTTGCTATCCAAGCAGTTATTATTTCATTTTATAGCGTATATAAAAGAGGCAAGGACGTGGACACTTTTAAAGATATTGTCGAAAAAGGATACATCATAGAAGGCGTACCTTCCCCAGACGTGGTGCTTCCAGAAACCAATGACATAAATATTATAATAAATTCTAGAGTGGTAGCTGTACGAAACATGTTTGAATGTGTTAATAAAATAGCTAACGACAGGCACAGGTTCTGTTTGAACGACTGTTCTGTTGGCAGATACTTACAAAGGAATCTATTGAATGATAAAGGCGAACAATATCTACATATAGCGAAAGATCAAATACATAACCATTTGCTGACCATGCTACAGTATAAAAACTCTCCCCTGACTGACCATCTTAAGAAACATATGTTAAGGATAGTACAAGCAGGTCTAATCGATAAATGGGAAGAATACCGCTTCCATGATATAACAGATGATGTACCTGTGAAATCATTGAGTATGGACGATCTTTTAGGTATTTTCGAGTGTTATTGTGTCTTATTATGTGTATCAATTATGACATTTTTATTGGAAGTCACAATAAGTAATGCAAAAAGAATGAGACGAACTCTAAATATAAAATATTCACAATGGCACAGGGCACGTGCAGTGAAAAAAAATATTAAAATTAAAAAATCGATAAATGTAAAAATGGTCGACAGTTACACTCAGACATTGGCGGATTATCTCTAGACCAAACTAGGCATAAGCCGACAGGTACAATGTTTTGAAGAAGCGTGCGCAAAATTCTTATTACAAGGGCCACCAATAGTATTTGCTTGTGCGTGTACCTACAGATAGAAACACGACTTCTGGAACACTGCTTGATCAACGACCCGCCAGTTCATATTTCATTAAGCCTGTAATTTTTATTTCATTATTGATACAATATTGCTTCATGATACATGTGCTATAAGATTTACTTGTATAATTTTTAAACTATATAATTATGATATTTACCCTATATACCACAGATCTATGATATACCTACGTTAAGAAATATATAAGTTTTTTTGTGTACAACCAATAAGTCAATATTGAATAGACTAACGGTCAGTTCCACAAACGTCCATTAAGGTTTGATGATTCCTTTAAGCGATAGTTGGTTAGATGCACAAACGTCCATTAAGCTTTAATGACGCCTTTAAGCTCTTTTTTAAGAAGGGGAGCCGGAGTAAAGAATCAGTAGGTAATGGGGGTCGGCATGAAACAAACGAACTCAACTCAACAGCCGCATAAGGTACTCCCCGTAACCCCACTCCCACTCGTAAACTCACTAGCTCGCCAGTTGGCCTTGCGTCGTCTGGGGTATTATTATAGGAGTGTAATTTATGTGAGACTTTCTTGTAAAAATTGCCGATTTTTGATGAAACTGTAAGTAGCTTTATCGTTAAGCATACTATATGAATCAAATATATCTACACTATTTCGAGTTTATAAATTTTCTTGAGTTTAAATATTATTATTTAAATTGTAAAGATAATAGCGTTTACGAGAAAAAAAAGAAATAAACTACTTCTAAAAATGCAGAAAAAATAATCTTTCTACACCATAAATTTTGATTACGACAAGAAATATGAAAATAATGTTATTATAAAGTTAATCAATAATTTCTTTTATTTTATAGAAATAATAGCTCGGCTCCCGTTCTACTTACTAGACCGCGTACCACTCTCCCGCTTCGCTCGCCAGCCAGCCAGCAGCCACTCGGCCATATGGTTGTCACGCGGCCGGACATGGCTTTTTTTAAGTGCAGTTGTTTAAAATAAGTTGAAATGTCTGCAAATATCAAATGGGACGTGATAGAAACAACTATCAAATTTATACAGTTACTTAAACTACATCCGTGTCTGTGGAACTTTAAATCTCCTGAATACAAGATAAAACAAAAACAGGATGCAGCATATAATTCTAAGAGAACTAATTTTTGAACTGTTATTTAAATATTCGAGATGTTATTATGATCAGTTGAAAAATATATTAAGCAGTTATTTAATTTAATGGCGGTTGATTAATTATTGCGACAGCAAAACATGGACAGTAATAAAAAATCAATTAGTCGGTTATTTTATCATACAATGTCGATTCTAAAAATAATTGAGCTGTCCAATAACTGAATGAGCGGTTCGATAAATAGTTCGGCAGATCATAGCGAGCGGTGACTTTCAAACTCAAATTCATTGAAAAGAGAGGTAAATGTTCGTTAGTTGGGCGGAGCTTATTAAAAATACTAACTAAGCAAATTTTAAGTATGTTTCGAATTACGAATAAAAGTTCCTATTATTATACAATTTGTTTTATTTAATCCCTTCAGTCAAATCAAAAGTCATTTAATTTTACATTACTGTTTTTTTTTATTTTACCACCTCATTGTTTATTGAATTGCTTAGAATGAGATTCCTTACCAACAAATTCCAATTTATTACCCACACGTAACCGCTCGTTCAATAATTTATTATCGCCCATTTAATTATTTTTCTGCTCAATTATATATTCACTGATCCATTCCATTATTTTTTATTGCTCATTCTTGTGTACTTTATTGCTTAGTTTTAAACTGATGAACTGGTTATTAAACGTGCCATTTATAATTGCTAACTTACCAAAACTGATATTTACAACTGCCTCTTTAAATCAGTGCCCTAATTCTAATAATTATAATACATAGTTAAAGGAATAGATACAACGTTCTTCTAGAAGTTAAAAAGAATAAAAAAATTACGGTCGACGTACCAAGAAGAAAATAAAAAATCCAAGAATCGAAAATATCCGGTGCGGGTCTCAGTAATGTGTACACTTCTAATATTAAATGGCTGAAAGAAATAGAAGAGGTGTTTTCAAACGATTTAAACAAAAATGTTTTTGAAAACGTTAGTACCTACTTTTTATGTTATAACGTAGTGACACGTTCTTTTCTTATTAAGTGATAAATAAAAAAAAAAGAACGATATATAAGAAAGAATATTTATTTGCGATAAGTAAAATCGAGGTCAAGGTCCCTAGGGTCGTGGGTAGGTTTCTTAGAGGTCTGATGGTAGATCACTCGATAGAACTTCCCTGTACTCCTGTGAATTCTACGGTGCGCCGGGCTTCAATTTCTGGTTTCCATAAGGCACTTCTCCAATTCTCAAATATCAATTCCCAATATAAGTAAAGTTGGCGTGATTTTCTTAATCCGTACGGAGTTCCTGAAGAAGTCACAATAATGCCACATTATTACCCGGAAAGAGAAGTCGGGTACTGCCACTAGCGTTGGTCGTTAAAATTACAATTAAATCGTAGAATCTAGCAAAGCTAGTTTAGTACAGGATGAAGAGATATTCTTAATTAATCTGGGTCGAGGTGGCAGTTATAAATAAAAAAAGCAGTAACGGTTACATAAACTGATGGCATTTAAATGAAATAAAAAAAAAAACATGGAACGTAGGTAGCAATATAAAATATATATCAATAATGACTTTTATTATTGATCATGAAATATTACGGTGATTCTTGTTAAACTTAAGTAAATTAATTAAGCAAAAGCTGCATACTTAGAAATGTAAAATAAGTAACTACAATAATTCAAACGTTTCTACTCATTAAATAATTGGTTAAATGCACAACTTACCCAGTACGGGATTATATTTTTTCACTACACTTCTAAGTGTTTCTTATATTTATTTAAACTTTTTTTTTTTATATATTTATTTAAAATAAGAATCGTCAGTCGAAGACTTAGTAAAAATCGAACAGACTTTAAATTGAAAAGCGTTAGGGCGCTTGTGCACTACACTGAATTTTCAGGACCGGCGGTCCGATTTTTTCCGGTCCGGAATGACATGAAAAACTCGGATGAGTAGCTTGTGCACTTGTCCGTTTTTTTCCTGATCGGAGCGGCGCAGTGTAAGGCAGCTCTCTTTGAAGCTACACGTCACTTACGCTAGGTACGATGAGATTTTTGGAACGTCGGTAATTCCGTTCGAAGACGAAGAAAGGTGCCTAAATAATGATCTGATCGTTTTACATAAACCATAATAAATTATGGCAAGACGAAAGCATTTTTTTTACTACTATCGGATGACTACTATAAGATGTAAAAACTTATACCCTTACTAATTTAGGAACAGCAACATACAATAGCTAAAAATATCTGTGACATTAGAATAAAATTACTGATAATGGTCTAGTACTTGATGTTTAAATTTTTAAACGTGTTATTATTTTTCGAAGTTTTGTAAAAACAACTTTCAGCGATCTTCAGATATCTCTGTAGATAGACCAATCGGTGACGCCATTTCGTAAACAAATCGAAATTAGTGCCGTGTTAGCGGAGAATTATTATGCTAAATGAACTTTACGAGATCAGTTGACTGTATTATATATAGGCATAATTTTATACGCGTGGTGTAGTTACTTTGAACAGAAATATAATCCCCTTAGAATACTTTATTTTTATTTTATTTTGTTAATGACACAAACATACATTTAAAATTTTATTAAATGCGAAAAAGACGTTGAGTGTCATTTAATTACTTTTGTTAATCTTCTGTTTATTCTTTATTATTACTGCTGTTGTCAAATATTTATCTATACTTATCAATTGTCTAAAAAAAATTTGATAATGACAAATTTCCAGGCAAACTTTCATCCCCTATTTTTCGCGATAAAATGTGGCCTATGTTCTTTCTTAAAGTTAAGTCTATTTACTATATTAATTTTCATTTAGATGGGTTCAGTTATTTAGGCGTCTAAGCGTAACAGCACTTATTAATATTACCTTAAGCTATCGATACTTTAAATACGATTCTAAAATCTAGCTAAGTATCGATACTAGAACCATACGCTGATCAAATTAGAACTATACCGAGTTTGCCAAAGCTTATGCAGTGCTATATACCAACTATATTAAATCATCATATAAAATATAGCATTTTATAATCAACAATAAATATCGATTATAAGTTTATTGGAAATTAACAATATTGCCGAAATAAATATCGATTCAAATCGATTATTTTTTCCCAAGCCTATTCCTTATGAATTTTCCGGATCTCGGACACAGCAGTGCACAAGCGTAAACACGTTTTTCATTGCCGCCATCACGGACCTGAAAAAACCGGTCCGGAATAGAGAAAAGTAAAATTCCGGACGGTAAAATTCCTGACAGTGCACAAGCGCGCATTACCTACATATGGCCTGACATATCGGACCTGAAAAAATCGGACCGCCGGACATGAAAATTCAGTGTAGTGCACAAGCGCCCTTACACAGCTGTTTTCAAACAAGATTCATTTGTAAGTGTGGCTCGCAACAGGCACGAGCGGCTGGCCGCCGCCGGCCGCCGCGCGGTCGACTTGTTATCGTTTTTTATGCTACCCGCGCCCGCGCCAACATCGCTGTATATATATATTACATCTGCGTGCGATCTGTTTGTTTGTAAATATTTAATTTGTATATAGTTAGGTTTTACATCGATAATTATATTTCGGCTACTGCTGCAGGAGGTCAGGTGCTTAAATCTAATGGTTATATGCTACTTCCTCTTTTATTTAATGGACAAACAAGTGTTATTAAAGCTCATGTTATTCCGGAAGTTGACTCAAAACTTTTACTGGGTATAGATTTCTGGAAAATATTTAAAATATTCCCTAATCACGTTAATAACATAGCACTTCTTGATAATAGTTCTCCGTGTATTCAAAAAATAGATACAAGTTCTGATCTAC